GGGTTTTGGGGTTTTGGGGTTTCGGGATTAGCGTTGTGGCATCTCGCTCTTCCTGCCACTCAACTGGCGAAGCCCGTAACCCATACAGCGAACACTTCAGGTCCACAAGGTACCAGGCTTAATTAATTAAGCCTAATCGTTCAAGAACTTTCGGTGTTCTAACCGCTGCTCGATGCTTCTCTGCCAAAAACACATGAAGGAACACACACGTGATGCCGCACCGTTTCCGGATCCACGTTCACTGCCTAAAATCCTCCGGATCGCATGCTTTTCTAGGTTCCCTAGCTTCCCCTCCCTTAATAATGAGGGTACCCTTTTTCCTACTGTTTAGATTTAACAAGGGAACCCTAAAAGACAAAGAGCAAAGGGGTCCTACTGGGGAACCTAAACCCTAAACCATAAACAACCTGGTTTTGTGTCCCGATAATTGCCACAACCAATTACATATCCGTGATCGGATCTAGAGTCTAGGGGTTTGGGGCTCCTTTAAGGGATTTCCTAAGGGTGGAGTCCTCAAGTAAGGGCACTACAAGTTTTTTGGGATTTAAGGGTTTAAGGCTTTAGGGGTCTAGAGTCCAGGGCATGGGGGTTTAGGGGTTTACATGTCTAGGGCTTTACGGCCTAGAGCAACAGGCTTCCATGCGGTCTGAAATTGGGGGACCTACGGCTTAGATCCTCCCAAAAACCCCTGAGGCCCTAAAGACATCGACTCCTGAAGCCTTAGACCACCCTCAAGCCCTAAACCCTTGCAACGACAAACCCCTAAGGGTTTAGGGTTTAGGGTTTAGTACTTTTTTGATCCTTGCAGGGATCTGGGTATACTTAGATAGCCACACTTCTAAAGAGAAACTCTAAACCCAAAGCCCCCACACCCAAGCCCTACTAAACGGCTTACTTGGAGGATCAGACCCAGTAAGCAAGGATGAATTGTGTAAGTCTAGTTACCTTACTTATCACCCTAGTAACTAAGTCCTGCGATCCTGCAAGTGGAGATTGCTAGGAGGGTCGGGGGATTTAGTAAGTAGGTAGTGTATAGACTTATAAATACCGCAACCCCACATAGGGTCCCTTTTGGGGTACTTCTGCGTCTACTAACTACTTAGAGGCTGAGCACCCTAGCCCAAAAAAAGTTAAACTTTTCAATTATGGTAGGGTTATATAAACCCCAAAAGAAGTTAAAAGTTACCTACCCAGCTCCTAAGGTTCCAAGTAAGGGCATGAAGTTTCGGGAAGCCCCTAAGGGTGCCTCGTCTCCCAGGAAGGCTGTGCCGCAGTTCAGGCAAACCTCTTCATGCAGGGCTTATGGTTAAGGGGTTTAGAGTTTTCGGGCTCAGGGAGACAGCTGGGGACGTTTGTAGGGTTTTTTGGGGGGGTTGATTCGAGGTTTAGATTACGTTAAATGGCACTTTTGTCATTGTTGTTGGGCTTCTGTGATAAGCTCGTCATATTCTCCGGAACCTTGAGGAATGCGGAGGGCTGCAGTCGTGGATTCAGAGTTTGGAATTTTGCTAAACTTATGGGTCAGGCTGTCGGAGAGTCTACTGTTGCAAGCTTACAGGAGCTGACACTTCCAGGATCAGGGAACGTAGTAGTGGCTAAAATACACTTGAAGGATCATGAAAGGAGCCCCACACAGGAACTCATATACAGATCCCCTATCCTTAGGGGCTGAGTACCCTAGCCCACCAAAGGTTAACCTTTTCAATGATGGTCTGGCAACACGAAACGAATATAGAAGCGCTCCATTCAGGATGGGAAGGGACATATGGATCCAACAAGCATGCTCAACCCCCCCAAACACTCTGAGCCCTAAAATCGTAAGCCACAAATGATCGAAACTTTTTGCCGATGGAGCTCTCCACTTCACGAGTGGAGAACCAATATGTAGTCAACATTGGCCGCCCAATCTCGAGCGACACAGCTTAGGGTTTAGAGTTTCGGGCTACCAGGCAATTGCTTGTTGAGGTCTCTGAAACAGAAGTCGTCGGTGGGCACCGAGGGCAGTGCCAGGCTGGGACCCTACACGGCCCAAGTTGCTCGCGGAACTTGATCTCCGCAGAACAGGTGGCTGAGCTTTGCCACCTAACCCTCCAAAATAGTGTTGGTAATTATTTAGGCCCCTACATTAAGCGCATGTGGGCATTGCCGCCGGAGGCTTTTCAGAAACCCGTGATTTGCTGCTGCCCTGCTGAGCTACACTAAACAGGTTTCAGGATGGAGGCCTGAACTAACTCCTGCCTAGAGCGTGAACCTTATGAATGTATCCTGAAATCCTAAAACCCCCTAGCATTTCGAAAAAAGCATTTAAAAACTTCCTTCAAATAATAGTGGCTTAACGAATCCTAAGCCCTAAATCCTGAACCCTAATGACTCGCCAGACCATCCAGCTCCAGCCTCCTGCCGCACCTGCGTGACGGGCTCCATCATCAGCTGTGGTTCCTTCAGAGCCGCAGCCGGCCCAAACGCATTTCGGGCTTCAGGCTTTAAAGGTTTTGGGATTGACGGGCTTAAGAAGGATTGAACATTGCATAAGTTCCTAAACCTTACACCCTAAACCCTCAACTAATCCTAAACCCACGAGTGCCTTCATCTCCATCTCATCGGACGCTTGGCTCACATGGCTCGCATCGTTCTGGAGCCACCAGGCAAAGCGACGAAGCCTCGGGTCGCATTGACCCTCCTTCGCCGTGGTGATTCTTCACCTCGTGGTACTTCTTGCCGGCATGGTCGCCGAATCCCAAGTCCCAGCACGTCGTTGGGCTCGGGGACCCTCCGATGCGTGTAGATGCGAATCATGGTCTCGCGCACATTGATTCCCAAGGTGTCCCGGCAAAATGCCTGGAAGTCGGCTTTCTTGCGACTGGCCTGATTATGTGCTTTATCGGGTTGAATATGCATCGACCACAGCCTCAAGGCAAACCGCTGCCTCGAGGTTGACAGGCTTCTGGATTTTTATGAACTGTCATTGGTAGACCTCTGAGGAATACCACCCTTTTTTTGTTGAAGGGCCACAATCGTAGGATCCTTCCTCGGGGAAGGGTATGAGGAACTTTGAACTGCCATAACCTACTTGTCTTTTCTTAATACTACATGCCCTCACAAGAATTCTATAGGAACCCTGCGAAGAAAGTAGGTTGTGGGAGCCCAGGGTACATGGAAAGAAGTCTGAAGTAGAAACTCTATTAGTGCTTCATTCGGACCTTATGGACCGGGGGGGCCAGACTTGTTGAACAAGAATCCCCACAAGTAGAATACCGTAATGAAACAGCGACAAAATGGAACATGCTCTTGCTTGCTAATTTACTTCGCCGGACCGATATATATATATATATATATATATATATTATAAACAGCTGTATATATGGATACAACTAAGCCCCAAACCTTCCCTGAACCCTAAACACAAAATCCTAAAACCCCCACGATTGTAACTTCTGGGGACAGTGGTTTCGGGTCGGGGTGTTTGGTCGGGGTATAAGTTTGGAGGATTCTGTTGGGTCTATAGTGAACCCTAGAAAGTTGGAACATGGATTTAGGATAGCTGGTGCTGGGTGATGTTCCAACTTTCTGGCTTCTACTTTAGAGACCTGAACCCTAGACCCTAGACTCGATCAGGAACCCTAGACCTCTGTGACCCATGCTTGAAGCTGTAAAAAACTGAAAGCCTTCTGAGAACCATTTAAGCTCTTACGACCCCCTTCTGTAGGATGTACCAACCCCCAAAACAGGGCTCCAGACCGTCCGTGGGCTCTGGCTGCTGCCTCCTTCAGCACAGAGGAATGCTTCAGGCCAACTGGGTTCCCAAAGAGACCCCCAATAATGTAGGCGCTTTAACAAGCAGAATAGGGTTTTCGGGGTTCCTTATTATAACTATAGTATACTATACCCCTAACCCCTATTCTAATTATTAAGGCTCCTGTATTACCCCTTCATCAAGCAATGTATCCCTCGTAAGCAATGTGCGGCTTCGAACCCTGGCTTGCCCTAAACTCTAAGCGCCTCTATACACAAATACGTACATCCCCGAAACGATGAGGGGTGTCGAATTATGATTTGGCCAAGAACGCTGTCAAGTAGTAGAGTATTGGGCTCCCTGGGTTTCGAGATCAGAGATCTAGCTTTTGCAGTTCAAGGCCTCAAGTGCAGGATTTGAGGTGTCGCTTAGAGCCTGAGCGACGTTTCACTATCAAGGCGTTCGTCTTTCGACTTCAGGCTGTCTGGAGCCTCAAGACTCGGCGCTGAAAGCTTCGGGATTGTCGACTTCGAAGGGGCCCCAGACTCCTCCTTGGCGAAGGGCAGTAGAGTGCAGTTGGGGATCTAGGTAGACTTGAAGATTTGGGCTTCGCGGTTTCGCTGTTTTCGGGTAGGCGGGGGGCTTGAACCCTAAACCCTGAACCCCTTGTGGAGTCATGTTGGGCATCAGCTGATCTTCAAATGGCGCATGAAGGCCGTGATGGTTATTGCAAAACACCGCCGCCAAGACAATGGTAAGCAACACTGCCGCTGCAGATGCTGCTGCGCTAGTCATGGCGGCGGTGATGGTGCACATGACTTCGGGGCTTCCCTTGCCAATGTTGCTTGAGAGGAGCACGACTAGTGCCGCCGTCAACTGGTCCAAACTTGCGCATACATTGAGGTGTAGGGCTTGGCGTTCCAATCCCTGCAACCTGGGCTTACCAATAGCTAGTCCTTTCAAGGTTACTCCAAGGCTTCCCAGCATCACTAAAACAACGGATTGTAGTGTCAGGTTGATAGGAGCCCCACAGCAAATCAAACCAAACAAGTTCTGAGTATGCCTTGTGGTAGGATAAACAAACCTGAGTAATATCTGCTCTGCTACAAACCCTGGGGGTGGAAACAGGGTTAGGGTGCAGACATTGGGGTGCAGGCTTGTCGGGGTTGGGTATACTGCGACCTGCTTGTATAGCGGCCCAATAGTTTCCCCTACCTCGTGGCTTGATTAAGACACCGCACAAGAATTAGGTTATGGAAGCTTCGGAAACGGCGTACCTAGACCCACGTATTACAAGAACTTTAAACCGACCAGTGATGTATAGCTGAAGCCTACAGCGTAAATACCTACACGCCAAAACCCTAGACCCTGGACACCCTGACCAGCCCCCTGCCCCCGTAGATCCCAAAGCATTTAGGGCCTGCAGTTCCGGCATACCCGCACTATTCAAGAACAAGGCACCTTGCCAAACATCCTAGTCGACAATACCAAGACCGTGATGCTTGTACTGTTGCGGTGAGCTTGAACCAAGTTCCTCCCCTAGAAGCCTGCATATGCCTTTCCCTAAACCCTAAAACCCTACTCCAGTTAATCAGACCGCTATATAAAACTTCTTTTCCAATAGTCGGGCCAGCAACAGTTTACAGTTTCTACGATAGACGATGTACAAAAGGCCAACTAGTTTACAGTTCTCCCATCGCCCATCTAAGAATCCCTGCTCTAACTATTGAGGCCGCTATATGGGTAGTTCTCTGAAATTAGGGTCCCTTCTGGGACCTTTGCCGTGTTATTTTGAGGACCCAGAAAGGGATAGAAGGAAGACGTCTGCCTCGGAATCGAGGCTCCGGTAGGAACTGCGCAGGCCGAGGGGACCTCCAGAATTGAAATGATGGCTCTCTTCTGACTGGTTCGTAGCAGGGAATGGAGGGAGCGTTTATATATTGGTACTACATAGGGGACCTTACTTACGGGACTATCATAGGGATCCATTCCCCCATTCCCTGCTAAGAACCAGGGGATCTTCTTCAATAGCCGGGCCCAGTAACAAGGTGTATACGGCCAAAAGGTTTCAAGTTCTCCCATTGGCTATCTAAGTTGGGAGGTGGGGCTTTTGGGGAACCGGAGCTTGAGGTTTGGGACTTTAGGCTTTGGGGTTTCGGGCTTCACATGCACCTCCTACCAGACTGCAATTCGCTATCGCGGCTGTCAATTATGGTGGTCCCGTGAAAGAAGCAGTGCTAGCAGGATTGGCGGCAGCAATACAACAAACACCTCCGAGTGACGTCTGTGATTCTCGACCACTTTGATATTGTGGCCAATGGAACCATCATGCGCATCGCGGCGGGCTCTGCGCCGCCTCCAGACCAGATCCTACTGGCTCGCTGGTAGGCCAAAGCTGCAGCCACCTTTGATTGGGCTTCCGCACGCAGCTGGTTGGATCTGACAAGGTCCAATTCTTTGAACCCGGACTCATTCAAACGAACGCGTGCTCCTGGACTGTGAGACAACTCAAGCAACCAAGAGTCGTCCAAATCTGATGGTCCATATTCGTACCTCGGGGGCACGACGACGGTGCACTTGCCACTGCAATTGGGCGCAATGTTATGCATCCACTCCTCCAGGTTCTTCACCCCAAAACTCCTAGTGATGCCTGAACATGGTTCCGTGGATGGCTTGCTCCGCCAGCCATGCAGCCGTGTCCGACTTGACCACCATGGCAGCATGCAGCTTCCATTTGTAATGTGCCGCATCGAAGCCAGGGACACTGCATGAGTAGTCGTACAGTGGTACAGCAAATTAAAGTGGCCAGGGGAACAGACGTGTCGCTGAGCAGCAGCGACCACGCCACCTTCCCAACTTTCGAAGTTTCCAGTGGCCCTAAAGCCACGAGCCTTAGGCACTGAAGCATCAGGACATAAAGTGATAGGGCTAGCGTGTGAAGGTTTGTGTTGGTCAGTTGGGTCGCTTTGGGCTTGAGGGCTGGCCTGAACCCTCACAAACCTACACTGTTCAGGCTCCTCGTTATGGTACGGGCCAAGTAATGTTTATGAGTATAGGTATACCTCTATGAGACCAAAAGACGACGACTTGTCCCAAACCGCCACCTAGGATGACCCTGGCGCCTTGGTCAATAAGGTTCTAAAATTAATGTGGCGATTATAGTTACCTTACGTATATCCCAAATTAGCTACGTCAACTGAGCCTCAAAGCCCTAAACCCCTGCAGATCCCTCTAATAGCCTTTAAGGAGCCCTTAAAGGGTTCTGGTGGAAAGGAACCCGGGCATCTGGGGGCGAGTTTTGGTTTGGGGTTTAAGGGTTTAGGGTGTAGGATTTCGGGGTTTCGCGTTTAAATGCTTTTAACTTTGTTCGGGTGTAGGCCCGACAATCTAAACACTAAATGCTGAATCGAAAACTCTACACCTAAAACTGATGATTGTATAAATAATTGAGTAATGGTCTTGGAGTGAGCAATGGTCTTGGAGTTTAGCGTTCAATGCATAGCTAGCAAGCCCATAGAGAATACTGAACACTCGTAGTCATTGTCGACCAGTCTTTGATATGACTCGTGCCCCATGAGCTGGTACGAGATGGATGTGTGGGGAATTTCTGCACTTCCTTTTAAAACTGCCAAAGCCAACATTTATTAGGGTCCCTGTGGATTCTATATTAGGGTGCAAAAACAGTAGTTTCTGGTAGTTGATGGTAGGCTGAACTGAACCGACCTTGCAGTGGGTGATGTGGCCAGCAAGGGTGGTGGAGGCCTTTCCCAGGTAGCTAATTCCATATAAAGGCATCTATGTTTCAACGACGGGTTTTGCGGATTTGGTTCTGCCATTCGGACAGTTTCCGTGCAATACGACTAATAATTTCGGCTTCTGGCAGCAGAATATGCTAGCTTCAGGGCAGTCAAGTGTTTGGAGTTGAAGGTTGTAAAACGTATGATATATCTATATATATATATACACACACACTGATGTGTGTGTGTATATATATATATGAACTTAACCTATGTATGTACGTGTGTATGTATGTATGCAAGTATCTATGTACGTATTTATGTATGGAAGGATGGATGTATGGATGTATGTATGTGTGTATGTATGTATGTATGTATGTATGTATGTATGTATGTATGTATGTATGTATGTGTGTATATATATATATATATACGTCTGCATATATTGCATGCGTGCATATACATATATATATATATATGTCTACATAAACAAATACGCGTGTGTAACATAGAACCAGCTCTCATCTTCTGCATGTTTAGGATCTGGCAGACATGGGACTGGCTGCAAGCCCACACGGGTCCTTACCGGGTTTCAACTGAGCCGTTGGTTTGTAGGTTTGGAGCTACAAGTAAGCCCTAAACCCCCGAAGCCTAAAACTTCAAAACTCCCCTAAGCCCCAAGACCCGAAAACTCAAACCCTAATGGTCCGACTGAAGAAGCCTTTCCACCCGAGCCTTCCTTTGCAAACCCTAAGTCTCGACTCTGGGCTCCCAAACATTTGAACCTCTTCCCTCCGAAACATCGAAAACGATGCCCATCCGACCGAGCCTTGGTCGCGAGGGTCCGGGATCCCGCAGACCTTGGGTTAAGAGTAGAAGCCAGGAAAAATGGTCAGGTCTCCTTGTGTGGCTTTGGGATGCTTTGAGGCTTCTCTACGTTCAGGGTTTATATGGTAGAAGCCAGAAAGTTGAAACATCAGTAGAAGGACCCTAGCATTCATCTTCCCTAATCCATGTTCCAAACGGGTTTAAGGGTTTGGGTTTCAGGCTGAGTCATTAGGGTTTAGGGCTTAGGCATTAGGGTTTAGGGCTTAGGGTTTAGGGTTTGGGGCTTAGGGTTTAGGGCCCCCCCCAAAAACCCACAAAGACCACACAAGAAGGGAACCTTGACCGACCATACAAACCGGGCCGTAAACGCTGAACC